CAGTTTGTCTCATTGTACTCGTTCTTTTGTAATGAACAGCAGCAGGGATGGGTGGAGGGGAAGGTGTGGAGCCTACAACAATGTAGAATTTGCATACAAATGAATTTTGACTTATGCGACAATCATACATACTTAAGTATACAAATGCATTTATGTATGTATGTATGTATGTTTCTACATACATATGTACACATGTAGTTATGTAAATAAAGGAAAGTATAAGGCAGCTTATTCATATGAGTAGCATTGTATATATGTATGTATGTTTGTTTTTACATACATATGAATACGCTCATATCTACTCATACCTACATACATATGTATATGCATATGTACATAGTACATATTTACTGCATTGGGTGGCCAACATTTCATGCCATGATATTATGTATACGCGCTGACTAATTGAAAGCATAAAATCATTTTTCGTATTTGTAAAATATTTTTCGCGAAATTTTGTTGTTTCGACGGTTACCGGGGAAGCATAGCTGAGAAAATTGGTTTAGAAAGTTCTTATTGCAAAAAGGTTATTAACCATTTTATTGTTTTCATTCTTTTTGAAAAGTTTTATACAATGAAAGTGCACTTGAGACCATCTCACAGCTTGCAAAATATCAAGGAAAAATATTTATTTAATTTTTTTTCAATAATATTAGATTTTATCCTCTAAAATTCCGTGTATTTGGATTTTCTTGAGTTTCTTAGTTCTAAAGAGTGGTGAAAACCATTTCATTTGAACTTTTTGTTGTTGTGTTGAAGTTTTACCAAAAGTTGATCTTAATTTGATTAGGAAAAATAAGAGAGGAGAGGAAAATATATTTCCTCGACCGATGTTAAAGTAGCAGTTTGGGAGAAGGGAATTTTGTAATATAATAAAAATAAGCTTATTTCTGTAGTCTCGAAATAAACTTAATTACTTCTCATTTTGGGAAGGAAGCACAGAATCTGGACTTGGGCGTCGTGATGTTGCCAGTTCTATGCTTTCACTTCGGAATCTTGAAAGGTGAAAAAAGGATGAAGATAAGTTCTCTGCCAATTAGATATCTTGAGTTAAAATATTTAAGGGTGAAAATAAGTAGAAAGCCGATAGAACTAAGCCTTTTGTAAGCCTATACAAAAGAAAATATAGTAAGAGACGTTTCGCTGGATACCTACTCGGAATTTGGCGCCGTGTGAGCTTGTAACCGAAGATTTTGTACGCTGGGCTACCTGTTTACCATTCAACTTAGTCTTTCTTTTGCTCAATTAGGCCTGGACTACAACGTCTGCATTAGTTAAATGGGTAGCAGTGTATGCTACAATGGACTCAAGCGCTGGCCAGTCCAGCAACCAAAAATATAGAAACCTAATTACATATATATGAATATATAGATTTAGTGCATTGTAACCACAGCACCGATTTTTGACTCAGCTCCTCCTCCGATTTGTCGTTTAGCGTCTTGATGTTTTTCCAACAAATGGATGGACCTACAGTTGATACTGATGGCTTTCTTTTGTGGAGTTTTTATTTCGTGTCATAAAAACATTCAGATGGTATGACATACTCTAATGGGTGGTCACCGGAATACCAAAATATAGCTCAATTTCCAGAATATTAATTAAATAAATTAAAAATCAACATGAAATAATATACTGCACATCAAAAGTTTTTAGCCATCCGTAGGTGGTTTAGGAGGAGCTCGGACGAAAAAACTTCGGTAGCTTATTTGGTGTATATATTACGTGTATTTATATTACCAACTTTATGTTTCTCATATTCGCGTCACATTTTCGTTGTTTTGACGACTTATTCCATAATAAAGCAACATCAACGTCGTAGATAATCGATTTAAAGGTGAATATTGTCATTTTCAGAATATCATCAATTTTTTAATTAAATGGCCCGAAATCGTATGTAGACCAGGGCGTATTGCTGTTTTCCGCGCCCGTCTTGTTTAAATCCGATATAAATTCCCCCTTTTGGGTTGGTTTCTACAAATGATTAGCACTCCTTGTGGCTTTTACTTCAATCCATATGAATTTTATCTCGATCAGCTCTTAATAATCAATTTGAAATGAAAACACTAGAAACTCAGAGAGCATAGTGTGCTATGAAACTGGCGTACAAAGATCGTTTGTTCCGCTGATTTTCCGGATCTCTATCTCATCCCTTTGAGTTTCTGGTTCGGATCTGAAACTGGCGTACAAAGATCGTTTGTTCCGCTGATTTTCCGGATCTCTATCTCATCCCTTTGAGTTTCTGGTTCGGATCTGAACTTCCTGATTACTATGCCCTCTGAGTTTCCAGTCTTTTCATTGCAATTGATAATTCACAGCTGATCGAGAACATTCACCACCATAAATGAGCAGTTCTTGGACTTCAGGTTCCTTTTACTGAAATGGATTTTTTATTTAATTTTTTTTCCTACTCCATTGCACGTAATTCAATAAATAATTGGCTGTTGCGACATCGACTGTATGAGATGTCATCGATATGTATATTTTACGCCTTTTTGGCTTAAGGTTTTCAGTTCAAAAGCTCTGCCCAAGGCTTCTCGATAACTGGCTAGTTTTTATCACTGGACTCTCTCAGTGTGTGGAGTATACTTAAGAAAAATTCTGTGAGCGTAATATTTTATTTTTCATTGCTTATTTTAGTGTTTGAAATTATTTTCGACGAAAAAAGTCTTATTTTTACTATAGACAACCGTTCTATCATCAAAATCAATATGACTAGGACACACCAGTAAAGAATGAAAGGAGAAGTTGAACTAACATTTTACTTCAAATATTTATTGGTGGCTTTAAAGTCGTGGAGGTTTCAAATCCTGATAAGACCAACAAAAACGTTGGAAAATACTTGCAGCAGCTTTGTGTCGTACTATTTCAGAGTCGAAGAGTCTCTTTAGTTTTGGAACAGGAAAAAGTGGCAGGCCAAAACTGGTGTAAGCGCTGTACGAGGTATATATGAAAACAGCGTTTTTTTTAGCAAAAAATATCAAACAAGAAACGATTAGAGAGCGTTGACTCAGTGCACCCTCTCCGTTTGCCGTTGTCATTATTTTAAGCTGTTAATTCCATATTTTACACAATACTTTGTAAGAATTCTTTGATTATTTCTTCGACAGCAAAAAATTCCCGAGAAACCACCACAGATTTCAAATCCGCCTCAAAAATACCGATAAGGCAAGAAAGTTCCGTTAAGCAGCCGCCGAAATCAGGCGATTGTGGTGTTTTTGTAATATATATATTTTTTTGTATTTACTTATACAAACTTAAAACAAAATCTGAATCTGCTCACTTTGTGAAATGCAAATTTTTTAATGCATTTAAGTTAACTCGTTAATATGATATTTTTTACAAAGTTTTTCTTTTTATTTTTTTTCATTACATTCGGCCATAATAAGCATTTTGTATAGAAGTTTTCAAATATGCGAGATATAAACACCGTAAGAAAATATTTTAAGTAATGTGTAAACTGCATAAATACTTTCGAATTTTTAACTTTTGAAATTCCTACTACAATTTCTTGCAAATTCTTGAATTAAAAGATTACAAAATGTATTTGTTATTTTAAAATAATATCTTATTTAACTAACACGCTTTTGTATTAATTAAATATTTTTCAAAAAATTTTATAATTTTTCTCTCATCTATTAATTTTATTAATTTTTCCATATTTTTCTAAGCAACAATTCGATTACAATTACAAACCGCACATTAAAACCCACCCACAAGTAGCTCCTACAGTTTTGCCCCCCACATACCAATACATGAGCGGTACATGAAAAAAACAACACAATCGTCTAAAATTCTCTTTCTATCGTGCGATTGCATCAGTTTGCTCTTAAAAATTATGATAATTCTCTGCAACCCAAAAATAGACAAAATCAAATTTTCACATCTTCCGAATTGCCACTTTATGGACGCAGGAAGGCGCGGTGGAGTATTTAGCAGACAAGCGGCAAATTGAGAAAACTAAACGGAGAGAGCGTGAAAACAAAGTGAATTCGCCGTATAATCAACGCCAAGCAGATGCAGATACACACCCCCAAAAATCGGAATGCAGTTGAAGCATCAACAACAACAGCAGCAGCAATAGCTAAAGCAAAACAAAAAAAAAAAAAACACATCAACAAACGACCTCAGCAGCGTCGGTAGCTGACCATCAATGCTTTGCATTGAGAGAGAAAGAGCATTAACTTCAGTGCTTCGCAGCAAAGTCAATAAACACCACTACATGCCAAAGAAATTGTTTTCCGGTGCTCACGCACACCAATACACTAGGCATCAGCTGACGATTGCTGGCGGCATGAAAAATCCAATTGGCGCAGCAAGCAAGCTAGCGCCGCTGCTGTGGTACAAAAGTGTGAGTGCTGTTTGAGTGTGTTTTTTTAAGAACAGCGCTGTTGGCGTCGCTGCAAACTGCATTGGTTCCACGTACAACCGCAAACATTGAGTTTTATTCACGTACGCGAGTTCAGTTCGCATTCAACTGTTGTGTCGTGTCGTTCGTTTGATTGAATTGAATAGAAAAATTACAAAACACCGACGAGAGTGTGAAAAAGTGATTTGACTTGTGTATGGAGAAGAACAGCCAAGAGTCAACAGCAACTGTTTTGATTGAAACGGCCAAAGTCAGCCGACCGCGCGCACATTTTGTTTTGTGAATGAGTAAAGTAAATGTTGGATGCGGATTTGTTTACATATACATATATATATGCACATAAATTTTTTTTCTGAGAATGTGATGTGATGAATTGTGACAGCCAGAAAAAAGCAGCTGAAGCATCGGTAAAATACTTTTGAGCGTGTGAATAAGAATTTTGAAACTTTATAAAATAATTAATTCAAATAATAAAGAAAATATTTTTAAAATTTCAAAACAAATAGAAAAAAAAAACTGTGCGTCTTAAAACTATACAATATTTTTGGGCGTGTATTCATTAAATAAAATTTTATATACATATATATATATATATTTATATATATAAATACTGCAATTGACGGTGTAATAATATAAAAACACCCTACAATATTTTCTCGTCGAAGTAAAATAAATTTTTATAAGAAAACAGTGGAAAAAGTGTTAATTTATGCGCAGCGCGAGCAACAAAAATCGATTGAAGAACAAAACATAATATAAATATGTATGTAGGAAAATTATAAAATGAAAAAGAACACACAAAATTAAAGTAAAGAAATAAAAAAAAAACAGAATATTATAACAAAACGTATAAATAAAAGTTAAATTAATGCGCGCAGAAAAAGCAAGCACAGCAGTAAAAAGCTGTGAAACACAGCAGCACCGACAGCAGTGAACAGTGAAAAAGTTTCCAGCGTTGCAGCGCGCAACAAATTTGTAATTTATTAATTTATTACACTTCAGTTTGCCAACATTGTTATTGTTGTTGTTATTGTTCTTGTTGGGCGCCCGCTTCCTCCACCCAAGCGCTTTTATATATAATTTTAATACATGTATATATACATATATACATATATATATATATTTATATATATGCACAATAAGCGCCGTTATTATTATTATATTTGCTTTTGTTGTTGTTGCCGCTGCCATTGTCGTTTCGCAGTTTGCTCCTTACCGTTGCTGTTGTTGTTGTTGTTGTTGCTGCCATTGTGCACATTGTTTTTTATTGTTATTGCCACTCGAGCTACAGCTTGGGCTTGTACCACCAATTTAGTTGTTGCTGTTATTGTTGCATATTATAAGCGTGTTTACGCGCGCCTTACAACCAAGAACCCAACTACTCAAACACCCACCAGCGCAAACACACACACACACACACGCTGCCAATTCAGCCTCTTTCAGCTTGTTGTGGGCCAAGATGCTCAGGACAGCCGGATGTCCTTACTTTCATACGCTCGCCTCATTACTATAACGGTTATTGTACATACATACATACGTAGATATATATATATATATAGAGAGAAAAGTGTGTGCGCAAATGTGCGTATTTTTGTTTTCTACGAAAGACGATGAAACGATGAAGGCGATCTTTGAAGCTCCTCGCAGCCAACCACACAGAAAGCGCTCACTACACAGCTCAACGGTAGACATATACTTACATACAAACATAGATGTGTACATTTATAAAGAATACGTATGTATGTAGAAATACAGCTGCTGAAAGGACTCTCAGTTGGAAGACGCTGCGGCGAGCACGTTGTGTATGCAAGGCCCTGCCGCTTCGCTGTCTTTCTTATAAATAAGAAATATAAATAAAATAAAATCTTAACGTTTGTTGTTGCCGCCATGTAAAGGCGCCAAGCAGTGAAGAGTACTAACTAAGATGCGCGAAAGTCGGATTTCCGACGCTTTCCTTCCAACAGGCAAATGCTGCGTGGGGTGGAGGCATGTAACAGTAATTAGTATTAATGCTGAAGGTTGAGCAGGCGAAGCGCCGGACGTGTAGAAGGCCGTCAAGAATGGCGTACACAAAAGAGAATTGTGATAAAAGTTGTGTAAAAGTAATATATACACATATACATACATATACTTGGTGGAAATGTGTTGAAAATTTTGTCGTATTGTAAGCAAAGTGTCGCCAACAATTAGCCACTTACACGCTTTGGTTAGCAGCTACAAGTACAAGGAGTTGTCTCGATTGCTGGAATTGACCAAAAATATTATGCTATGGTTATGAATTTGGTGTTCAGCGGAAATGAGAAATTGCTGTTGAGGGTGTAGCATGGCTTAGATACTTGATTGTGACTAAATATGAGGCAAAATTCGGTTGAATAGGCGACATATTTGTGATAAAGTGATAATTTGGCATATTGACTATAACAAGAAAATGTACAAAATATTTTTGAAATTATTTTCTTATTTTTTTTTTTTTTGAACATGCAGTTGCTTAATGTTTCGATATCAAAAAAAAAAAAATCATCTGAGCCTCTGCACATTTTGAATGTGCAAGTATTTAACAATTTTCCAAATCATTCTTAAAAGAAAACAAATTCGTTAACGTTATTAACAATTATAACAAGTAATAGTGTTAAATATTCTTGGCTATTTATTAAACTAAAAATGGTCTCATCTTTTTTTTTGAATTGCTAAGTGTTTTAATATAAGTAATAAATAGTTTTTTTTTTCAAAATTAACCAAAAATTTACATAATTTTTGAAATAAAAATTTAATTTAACAAAGAAACATTTTTCGAATATTCAAAAAAAATTTATAAAATTGTTTCTAACCAAAATTAATTATTTATTTATATTTGTTTTAAAATTCAATTTATATAAATAATATATATTTTATATAGTAATTTTTTGCTGAATTTTCCTTCCGATTTCATTAAATAAAAAATAGCATATTCAAACAAATATTTATTAAAGCCCGATAATAATCGAAAATTGAAAATAATCTTAACTTAAAAAAAATATTATTTATAAATATCACTGTTTGATGAAATTCCTTCTATTTTGAGAAAACTAAAAAAAAAAAATAAATAAAAAAATTGTTAATATTTAAATGTTTTAAAATTAAATTTAAAGAAAAATTGTAAATAAAATATATGTCAATAATTCATTTGCAAACAAGTTTAAAATTTTGTTTTTGAAATTAAAAAGTGCATTTCATAAGAGTGAATAATAAAATATTATAAGTAAACAACTCTTTTAAAAAATAATTATTTAATTAGTAAAAACTCAACTATTTGGTGAATGAATGGTTAATGAATCAAAAAAATTAAATTCGAAATATTTTAAAATCAGTATAAAAAGGTAAAAAGAATTAAAATTTTAATAATTTAAACGTTACTAATTAAATTGTTTTTTTATGAATTAAAAATCTGTGTTTAGAAATTAAAATTTGTGTGCTATAATTGTAGAGAAATAATTTTTAAAAGCCAAAAATATTCAATTGAAGCAGCAGAAATACAATTTAACTTATTAAGAATTTTAAAATTGCATTTATGAATTATTTGCCTTTAAATACTTTGAGTTTATGAAATAATTGGTTTTCAAAATTTTGGATAGTGGATATTTTCGAAAGTTATTTTTATTTATTCGGGAAAATATTCAAAGTAAAGTGAAAGAATAAATTTTAATAAAAATCTCACACAAATTATATAGAAAAAATATAATAAAGAAAATGTAGAAAACATTCTTGACGCAAAAAAAGTTTTGAATCGGCATTTTTTCAAAAATCGAAAGGAAATTAAAAATTAGCTTATATTCAAGTTCTTCTTTGGAAAAACTAATATAACATTATCATCCTCTCGTTGCGACTATAAATTGAAAGAGAATTTTTCGGGTATAAATATCAAATGTTCTTGTTTTTAGTATTTATTATTTTAAATAAAAAAAATTACTTCAACTTTTTATTTTTTTTTCCAAAATTATAGAAAAATTATGACTTAACAGTAAATTAAATTTTAAATTCTAAACAAATTTTGTTTGACATAACGGTAATTATTTAAATTTAGTGCAACATTTTCCGCCTTCACGTTTTCATATTTAAAAAAATTTTGACTGTAAAATCTTTTCAAAATAATTTACAACACACTGTGAATGCCGCCATTCATTGTTGTCTGCCACACACATCATACACACACAAAAACAAGAAGATAAACCAACAGATTGCCGAAACTTCTGTGCAATTTATAATATTTTATTTTACATACATACAAACTCATATGTATGTGTATTAATGTGCCTCAAATATAAAATATGCACAGTCAAATAAATATAAAAAAATCGAAAATGCGTAAAATTATATATTAATGCCAAGCATAAATATGTATGTACGCATTAATGAACGTGTATAAGAGAAAGAATAAAGGACTCGCCAAATAAAAAAAAAAAAAAAAAAATAAAAATAAAAATAAAATGAAATAAAAAAAATTAAATTACTTGCCCAAAACAAATAAGAAGCGCAATAACAACAACAGCAATGGCAATAAAATGTAATAAAAATAATGCTATAAAGTAGCAAAAGCTGCCTTGTCGACCGACCCGAACAACAAATTTTGCTTTAAATGAATGGTGGCAGCAGCTACGGCAACGATAGCGGCAGTGGAAGCGGCAGCAGCATTAATAAATTAAATAAATAAAATAAATAAATAAAACGAAATTATTGACATACACGCGCATAATATATGTATGTGCACATGTGTTTGTATAGGTATATACGTAAGTGTGTGTATGTATGTATTAGCTAGCAATAACCAAACTACGCTGCGCCACTCCTTGGTGGCCACAGCAAGCAACAACAGTAACCACAACAGCAACAGCAACAACAACAACGACAACATCAATTTATTTTTATGTGTCTCCACATTTATTTATTTGTGCCAACATTGTTGTGCATACATATATACATACTTATGTTTCTATGTATGTATGCTCGAGGCAGTGCGTGTGCATTTGTTTACCGTTTTATATAAAAATATGTATTATATATACAATATAATAAATTTATAAGTAGATATATATAAATTAATATACATACATATATACATACAAATGTGTTTGTTGCTCGATATAAGGAAGCTATGTATGGTTACCCTTTGAAACTCACTCAATTACTGCTTACATATACTTGTACATACATACACATATATAAATATATATTTATGTATATGTCTATATAAATGCATGTATATTTATACATTACGCTACATACATAATTAATATAAATAACATTAAAATAAAATTAATAAATAACGAAGCAAAACAGCTGCAACAAAAACACCACCAAAAAATATCTTTCTGCAGCCGGAGTCAAAGTCAGCGTCCGAGCAGTAGTAGCAGTAGACGCAGCAGCATAATGCGTAGTGCGGCTGATGGCTTGTTGCTCTTGTTATGTTTGAGAGAAATTTTTGTGTTTGGTGCATGGTTGAGAAGGTGGCGATTTTAATGTTGGTGTTGAAGAAAGCGCTGAGATGGAGTATCTCAATAAAATATTATTTACATACATGCACACATACATAAATATATATACATAAAGAAATATGTATGTGTATAAAAATGAATTTTGTTTTGTATTCGCGGCAATTTTCGCCCTTGCGGTCGCAGCTGGTAGGCAATTCACACCTTCTCGCAAGGCGCGCAAAGTGGCTTTCTAGTATTTTTGTTGTTGTTTATGTGTTCAATAAATGATTTTTATAGCTTCTTGGTAGGTAGGGAGCTGGTTAACTTTTTTATAGTGGTTCTTGTTGTGAACTTACTTTCATTTGAAATATGCTTTAGAAATATGTATGTATGTATTTATTTGCATCTGAGAGGAAATATTATAGCATTAATCTCTTTTGGTTTAATAATAATAAAAAAAATTATTTTTTATTCAAACCGAATGAATAAAATTTGTTAAAAATCTTAAGTAGGAAAAAGTTAGTTTTCTTTGAAAGAGTTTTACTTTTAATACAAAACAATTAGTAAAATCATAACACAAAGAAAGGGGAAAAAATTTTATTTACTTTATTTTTAATACCAAAAATTAGGAAAAATATAGCAGGAAGTAGGAAAAAAAGATGTTTTCTAAATAAATTTATATTTTTTCTAAACGATTATTAAAATCACAAAAAAGAAAAAAAAAATAATTTATTTAAGTTTTAAAACAAAAAAGTAAAAATAACAAAACAAAGTAGTAAAAAATATTTTTTTATTGAAAAAATATATTTTTAGTACAAAAGCTATGGTTACTTTTGAGGAAATAAAATTTATTTAATGTTAATATTTTCAGTATTTCTTACACACACTTGAGACTTAATTTGTTTTGGAAATTAAAGAAAAGTGAGAAAAGTAATTAAAAAGCACGTATTTCATATTTTCTCATCGAAAATCTTTTAAGCCAAAAATAAAGTATTTTTTTTTAAATCGGATTAAATCAGATTAATATCGAGCGGTAATTTTGAAAATAACTATTGCAAGAGCTACATTAATTCTTTTGGAAGTTGAGATGGTTTTATTATCAATATTAAAATTCTTAAATTAATAAATATTTTGTGTTTTTTAAGTAAATAAAAAGTTTTCATTAAATACAAAATTCTTTTTTCTTATAAAATGATAAAGAAAATCAATAATAAATAATATATTTTTATATATATATATACATATATATCTATATATATATGCATATACATATTACAGATCACTACACTTTTAATAGAAATATATTTTTTCCATCGAATTTATGCGATCAGCAGCACTAAATACTTGTGCCAAAATAATAATAAAAAAAAATTATCGTCATTTTTCAACGATAGATGAGTTTTAATTAAAAAATTCAAACTTTAAAACAAAAAAATGTCAAACTGAAAGAGAAAAAAATTTTTTTTTTGAAACCAAGAAAAGAGAAGAAAAAAATTTGAAAACGATTTTTGTTTAAAAAAAGTTTAAATGATAACAATCAGTGCCCTCATGAACGCTAGGTTTTGAACAGCTGTTTCTCAATGCATGAAAAATGACAGGATTTTTATTTCGAGTGGAAAATATTTTATAAAAAATGATTTGTTTTTCAAAATTACGAATAAAACCTAAAAATTAATTTAAAAACAATTTTAACTGATCTTTGGCAAGAAAAGTGATGTATGATAAAAGAAGGAAGTCAAAAAATAATAAATTAATTTTTGTTTGCTTTGGAAGTGATAATGATTTTCGACAAGCAAATTAAAATTAACTTTTGTTGCTAAATAATACAATAAAAAAATAAATTATTATGTACAATACATTCCGTATTTATTTCGTTTTTTTTTGCATAAGATTTTAAAACAAAAATTAATTCTTAAATATTTTATTTTTACCTCAACAAGATAAAAATTAATAAAATGTTTTTATAAAAATTTATTTTCCGTCGGCTAAGCTGTGCCAACTACACTGATGAAACGCTGTTTCTGAAAAAAAAAGTTAAAATAACAAGTATAAAATGTGTTCACAAAAAAAAAAAATTAAGTAAAATAATTAAATATAATTTTATAGTTATTTTACTTAATAAATTTTTTTTCTTCTATTGAAAAAAAAAAATAAATTCATTATAACTATAAGGAATTAAAAAGTAGCTTGAAACGAGTATTAAAAATCAAATGTAAATATTTATTTCAAATAAATCAATCTCTATTTATAGGTTTGAGTGAAAAAAAAACAAAAACAAGAAATAAAGAACTTGAACTGAAAGTAAACTTTGAATTTCGAAAAAAAAAATGTGCAACACCTGAAAGAAGTGTTCAAAAAACCAATAAAAATTTAAGCCGAACAAGTTTCATCACTAAAACTGTAATCGTTTAGCGAAATCTACAAAAATGGATATGACAAAAGACATTATAGACTACACACAAAAACACGCTACAGACACAGCAGAGCGGCTGATCGCCAGCTATCAGTCACCACTGTCCGAGATCAGTGAGAACGAGGCAAACACACGCGCATGCGCTGCAGCATCACCCTTTCATGCGGGCAGCAATATTATGGACGCCAAAATTAACACACCAACAGCAGCATCGTATAATGAGAGAGCTTCTACTATCAACAATAATAACAATACAACAACTAGTGGAATTCCAATGGGCGCAGAACAATGCGAGCAACAGACGCGCCCACTTGAAACAACACAAGCAGACGCCGCTGTACAGCAGCCCAGGGAAGAGTTAAATGATACAGTTGCTGCTGTGGAGGATGAAATAAAAGCTATTGCGTCGCAACCACCGAAGACTGTGGGCGCCGCCGTGGTGAGTGGTGACTTAACACCGCCACCACGCCCCTTCACCACTAGTGAGGTGGTGGGCATGAGTTCGGCACTCGATGATGATCCCGATTTGCATGTCGACATACAAATGCCCAAATCGCGTTCGTTACCCACTTCGCCCGATCATCATAGGCATAGCTTGGACTCAGCATCGGCAGATATTTTGACACGCATGAATGCGGCGCTTTTTGAATTTGAGCAGCGGCGTGGCTTAGATACAGCACTGCATGCGCCCTTCGCTGCTGACATGTCGGCACCAATGCGCATCTCGAAGTTGTCGAAGTCGTCATTGTCTGCCGGCGCACCACTCACAGCAAGTAAGCCCATTTCACCGCTGGGCTTGAAGTCCAAAAAACAGTTGGCTGCTGCAGCAGCGGTGGCAACAAACACACAGCAACAACAATTCTGTTTACGCTGGAATAACTACCAAACAAACTTGACAAATGTCTTTGACGAACTGTTGCAGAATGAGTCCTTTGTCGATGTAACGCTTGCCTGCGAGGGACAATCCATTAAGGCACACAAGATGGTGCTCTCCGCCTGCTCGCCCTACTTTCAGGCGCTTTTCTACGATAATCCATGCCAGCATCCGATTATCATCATGCGCGATGTGCGGTGGGAGGAGCTGAAGGCTATAATGGAATTTATGTATAAGGGTGAGATCAATGTAAGTCAAGAGCAGATTAATCCATTACTGAAAGTTGCCGAAATGCTGAAAATACGTGGCTTGGCGGAGGTGAGTGCAGGAGGTGGCCACGGTGGCATGGCCGCACCACATCCCATGATGCCCGAACAACGCATGACTATATTCGACGAAGAGGATGACGTAGAGAGCGATGAGGAAGGTGCCGAAGATGGCTGCCAGAAACCAAAACGCGCACGCATGCTCGACCCTACACTCGGCAAAACCTTTCCACATGCAGCTGTGCTCGATTTGAACTTGGCTGCACAGCGTCAGCGAAAACGCTCGAGAGAAGGCTTTTTCACCGAAAACAATATGTCACGCTTTGGCATCAGTACAACAATGCACACAGCAGGTGACAATGCGGAAACCAACTCGCAGGTTGCCATTGCAACAAATGGCACCGCCGCTGATACCGCCTCACAACCGCCACCCGTTGCCATGACCACTTCGACTATTGTACGTAATCCATTTGCTTCACCAAACCCTAATCCCAATCATAATGCCGGAGCAGCTAGCACCAATCAAAATAATATACAGTCCGCCACTGCAACACCTACTGCCCCCTCAGCGGTCGCTTCATCAACACCAACACCACACGGCAGCGCTACACCGACTGCACCAGATACGCCCACATCGCATGCCACTGCTCACTCATATCGTCCGCCATCCATGCCGTCGGCTAACAGCCTCAAAGGCGCTATGTCTTCTCCAGCAGCAGCAGCAGCAGCAGCAGCTAGCGGTATCCCCTTGAATGTACATTCCCATCCAGTGGCCGCGGCGGCAGCAGCTGCTGCATTGGGCGTTAATCCGCATCATCCACATCATCCTCACCATCATCATCATCATGCCGCGGCAGCCGCTCAACAGTTAGCTGCTCAGCATCAATTGCATGCAGCGGCTCATTCGCATGCGGCTATGGCCTCTGCTCTAGGCGCTTCATTGGCTGCTGGTACCGGTCCTGGGGGCGCAGGCGCGAGTGGTGCACCAAATATGCCCCCGTCGATGGGTCATCATGATGAGTTGGAGATCAAGCCGGAAATTGCCGAGATGATACGCGAGGAAGAGAGGGTAAGTGCAAATGATTTGTTAATTTTTATTTTAAGTAGAGTTTTTTGGTTTAATCCATATGGAGAGTTAAGCGTTTTAAGAAGGTTAAAGAGCTTGGCAAATAACAGAACTTGCAGACCTTAATTAAAAGGGAATAAATCAGATTAAAGAAAACCTGTTGGGTGTAATCTCAGTTTCTTTAAAATGTAGGTTTGTTAGACTTTAAGCCAAAAACTGGGAGCATGACATTCGTTTTAGTTGTGCTTCAAACTAAGAGTGTGTAATTAATTAATGATTCAATTGATTTATTACTTAAACATTGCACGGTTGATTTAATAAATTATTGCATATAATTATTAATTATTTAAAGATTATTAAGGATTATATTTTCAATTAAATATAGTTTAAGTTGATTAATTAAAAACTTAATAAACATAAATCCGAGACACGTCTCATTGATAAACATATAAGTAATTAATCACTGTCCAATCGTTATCGATATAATAACTAATTAATCGTTATCGTAAACAAATAATTGCCCACCCAAATTGGGATTCAGTAAATCGTGTAAAACAACAATTAAACTGATATTAATCAATCAATTAAAAATCGTTAGTTAAAACTCAATCTCTCTTCTCGCACATAACAATCTAACGTTCGTTCAGAGAGATTCGTATATCTCGATTGACTTCAACCAGGGACTGACTTCTTCGATAAAACGTTATTTAAAGTTCGATTTATGAATATATATATATATATAATTGGCGCTTTGTAATCGCTAAAGCGATTTTCGGCCGAACTCCTTCTCCAATTAGTGGTTTTGCGTCTTCATGCTTTTCCAACAAATAGAGGAACCTACAGTTTATACTAAGCCGTCTCCGAACGGCTGATGGTTTTTTTTATCAAGAGCCCTTCTTTCAAGTCCGAAATACACTTGGAGGGGTGGACAATCCCTGCCGAGAGGCAACCACAATTAGAAAATTTAACTTTATTTTTTATTTAAATTAATTCTCTATAACTTTTGGATGTTGATCGCACAGGGATTTGAACTCGACCGTTCCGAATGGCAGTACGCAATGCTAACCCGTTGGCTACCACGGCTCGTCTCGATTTACTTGATACATATTTACGTGGGTTTTTGCTTAGATTAAGAAGAAAACTATACTTCTCTTCGGGGCGTAGACTAGGGACTGAATTTTTTGAAAAAAAAAATATATATTTATTTGTCGATTTATTTGAAATTTTATTCGACTACTCTTCACTCCCGGAAATGGACCAGGGACCGAACCCTTCGAAAATTTCATTTATGATTGAATTTACTTAAAATTCGGTACATAAGCGGCATTTTCTTTAGGTGTGCAAGAAGACCACTCTGCTCTCCGGGATGTGAACTAGAAACTCATTTATTTTAAAAAATCGTAATTATTTTACTATTTATCTGAAATTTAGCACATACGAGTAGATGGGTTTTGCCGAAAAAAAGTATTTACAATATATTTCTTTTTACTAAAAATTCTCCTTTTACGGAAAGTGTAGATCGATCCACTAGTTTAATTTTTGCATGATATGCTTAAATGAACTATTTTAATTTCCTGTAAATAGACTAGAGACCTGGAATAATGCTCGGTTTGTCCAAAATATAAATAATACTGTTTTCATGGAAAAGGGAGTACCGACAGATTGCCAAATATTATATGATATGCAGCTATGGGTTACAAGCTATTTTTATATGTATAACTCTAGTTTAAATAAGTTCAACGAAGAACGAATAAGTAGTTAGATGATGCCTCCATTAGGGGTTTTTGTCGTTCTCTATAATACCAATTATAAAAAAATTGGATAACGTGTGGCTGGGTCTGCTAGTTAATCACAAAAATTATCCTCTTTTTAGTGAAAAGTACAAATCTAATAATGTATTTTGAAAATTCTTCGAAAATTTGTTATTGACCTCAATTGTTTTTCAATTAAAGGAATATTGGTAATTAATTAGTTATTTTATTTGCAAATATTTATACTATAATGAAAAATAAAAAGTTTTAAAACTTATTTAAACATTTCTATGTGTATTTGTATGATATCAAAAATGTCTATAATATTCCAATTTTTTTTTTAATATTTTGGCTTACAGTATACCATATCCAACTGAAAATCTTTTATTAAAAAACGTTTTAATTTAACTCTTGAATAAAATAAAATACTTCTTATTAATCAAACTAAGTCGAAATAAAAAATTGTTGCCCCTTAAGTTGTTCTCTTTCCTATTCTTCGCCTGCACCGTCTTCATGACTCTCATATCTGAGAGATTTCGTCAATTACAATCTCAAAATAAAAAATAATTTCTCTTTTAAAAAAATGTTATTTATTATGAGTAAATTGCAACAAGGCAAAATATTGTATAAGTAAAAGAGCACAATTATGCATAATCAAGTTTTTATACTTAAATTTACAAATGAGCAATTTAATTTACTTATTTACTTCAAACAAAATAAAATTCAAATAAATTTGCAAGATAAATAGAAATCATGCGTTCTTTAGTCAATATTTATTTCGATTTGCATGCAACATTATTCGCCATTGAAGACACTTACGCAAATAAGCTTAGACTTACATATATATATATATGTTTTTTTTTTATTATTATTCTACATCTATTTGCTTATGAACAAAAAAACACACACATACGCACATGCATGCATTAAATTCATTATGCAATTTTGTCATTAACATAAAATGTAAAATTATTTCAAGACTAAGTAATTGTATGGGCTGATTAGACAAGTGGCTGACTGAAATGCTGACTGTATGACTGATTGAATGACTGATGAAATAATCGACCGATTGACTGAATTGCTGACTGAGTAAACCGTTTCTGACTGACTAAAAGGCCAGCTAAATAGTTGACTGCGGTATTGGCTGATTCGCTGTCGGAGCAACCCCTTTTAATTGACTAGAAAAATGAGTGAATTACCAACTAACTGACTGACTGATTGAATCGCTAACTGAATCGTTGACTAACTGTTTGAATGAACAGCTCACTGAGTGACTGATTAAATTGCTGATTGAATAATGACTGCCTTACTAGGTGAGGTGACTAACTGACTTACTGTCAACCTGACCGCTTGACTGATTGTTTGTTTTGGGCGCTGCAGATGCGCCTATTGCACACACACTGCCTACTGCTGTGTTAGCTATGTAAATACCGTATGCCTAATAAGTGTCAAACGGTTGGGTGGGCGCTGCGCCGTTGCGGCAAGGCGGTTAGGCCTCAGCGCATTGGCTGTCACGCACATGTGGGGCACTAGGCTGCACTTAAGTTGCGTTCAACAAAGTTGCAGCTAGGCTGAGGCGTTGCAGGTGAAGAGGTCTCTAAGAAATGTGTGCACCTGTACACACATACATCCATATAAACTTGAGTATTTGCTTGCGGTTACCGGTTAAGTCAATGTGTTTGTGAGTGCCTAACTTTGTATGCTAAGCATTTACATATATAAATAAACGGTAGGTAAATAAATGCGAGTCTAAAAAAAACTGCAACAATATACTAATTTACTAACTAATTTGCAAAAATGCAGCAAAAATAACAAGAATTCATTTTTTCGACGTCTTTCACTGAACATTTGCGCAGAAAAATGTTGTAATTATATAACTAAGTTTGTATGTACATACATGTACAAAAGATAATGCAATTGTAGTGCAGAATACATTACCTGCATAATTTGAGTAAATTTGCAATTTTTTTCTAATTTTTTCGCATATTTTTTACCTATTTATTTCTTTAATGCGCAAAAGACGAATAATAAAATATTTATTCATTTTGTATTTCATTGCAAATGCGATTACATTGTATTGTGCAATTACAATAAATAAGCACTAATGTCGTAATTGGTTTTTTTCTGCATAAAAATGCATTTTTGCCACAAAGCACTTGGCACTTCACTGTATAAGACGGCGGAGAGGCGACAATAGTGGAGAAGGACGACTGAGTTGGGGCAAACGAAGAGGTCATCAATAGGGTGCTTGGCATGGATTAGTTTTCTGAATTCATATATATGTACATATATGCATTTATACATACATTTTTCCAATGTGAAATTGTAACAAGCGTGAGGTCTTCTGAGCTCAAAGTTCGTTATTAAATGAAATGTTAAATTAAAAAAAAATAAAAATTTAAAAAACTGTACAGGCATAATATAAAAAGCGCTTTATATATATGTGATTTCTTTCCGTTTACTTTGCAAGCTTTGTTTCTTCTTCTTCTTCCACTTTTTCTGCGTCTTCACTGTGCGAAAATGGCGCGACAGGAAATTAAAAAATACATTAATTAATTATTGAAACTTTTCATTACAACTTAAGCAAATATGCCAACACATACATACAAGAAATACATTTACACATACATATGTCTACAAATATTGTGCTTGTTTTTGCTTGGAGTATTATAAGCTCAGAGGGATGAAGCAAGTAGTGGGGTGTCTGAGAAAAATTATGTTTTTCTGTGACTAACTTGATTCCGTTAAGGCGAAAACTGCAAGAAATTTACGGATTTTTCCTTAAATGTATAAAAAAAGTTTTTTCTTTAAAGAAAATAAAATAATTCTATGTACAATAAACCAATATTGAAAATTAAAAGTTATATACAATTAACTAAAATTTAAATAAAAATTAAAATAAACTAAAATTGAATTAGAATGAAATAAAATAAAATGAAATAAAATAAAATAAAGTAAAAAATAAAATAAAGTAAAAAATAAAATAAAATAAAATAAAATAAAATAAAATAAAATAAAATAAAATAAAATAAAATAAAATAAAAAAAGTAAAATAAAAAAACATAAGAAATTTACTTTCTTATACTAAATTAAGCAAATTTTGTAATCAAATTAATTGTATTATAATTAATAGTTAAATTACTATTCTTTGATGTACTAATTTATAAGCTTCCATTCGTGAACATTTCCAATAAATCGATTTATCTCCACGAAATAAATTAAATATTTTCCAATATACTTTTACTTGCCCAT